ACCCACTAGTGCACAGCCCACTCGCTGGCCCTGACGGTACCTGTACCCACTAGTGCACAGCCCACTCGCTGACCCTAAAGGTACCTGTACCCAGTGTTAGGCAGCAGACAGTGGCACGGCACTCTTTACCTGGGTCCCAAGCACTGCGACAAGTTTAATATTGAGGCCATGAAGATTCTGATAATAAAGATAAGCATTTAAAAGCAAGGGATTCGCCTGCAACTTCTTCTTAAGAGAAAAACAGAAATCTTTCTCTTTAGAGAAAAAGAGAGCGAAAGAAAAAGAAATGATGATTGCTTTTCCTAAAATAATTTTCCTGTTGTGGATTTAACTGACTGTTCTGGCTTTCGGTAATTAATCTTTCTGGGCACAATGAAAGGATTGGGAAGCACTTCAAAGGGGAGAGTGTGAATTATCTGAAGACAGAGCTCAGTTTGTGTCCAAGTGCAGTGCGCAGCAGATTGGGGCTTCTGCCAGTTTGGCAATTTTACATTCGTCACAAGTGTTAGGCCAATAAGGCATCCGAAAAAATTATTCGGTTTCCTTTCTGTAGAAAGCACATCACAAAAAGAGAAAATATTTTTGTCTATTTAATTCCAAAGGTCGGTACTCCAGGTTCAGTTTTAGATTTGTCTTCACTCACTTACAGTACAAGCACAGGTCTGTGAGCATTAACAGCAAAAACTTTTGAAAGGGGAAGACGGGCATGTTCAGGAACAGCTACAGGTGCTACAAACAGCACACAGCTTTTTGTCAGAGAAAAATAATTACTAATAGACTGTTTTACCATGGTAAAAGCAGAGAGAAGTGTGGCAAAGCACTATAAAATCATGAAAGAGTACAGAGAGCTGCGTTAAAGCCTGACACAAATTATGAGACACCACAGCATACAAAGAAAGATGCATGTTGTCAGTGTGATAAAGGCAGGGAAATAGCTAACAGATATACCCTGGTGAACTTGCATTAAAGAAACACACAAAGACCATAAGCCTTCAACAAATTCCATGGGCACGCAGCTTACAGTACACAACCACAGCACAGACAGCTCTACCAAAACTACAAAACAGCACCTCCAGATCTTTCCTATAAATCAGTAGAAAACGTGCTCAGCAGCTGCATTAGTAACACTGGCATGTCAGAGACACAACACTTCTACACCACCATTGCAAGAGACTTGGTAGTTGGTACTTGGTAGACTTTTTATTTAGCAGGGGGCTCCTAAAAAGAATTTAAAAAAAGCTTCACCACGACGGAATCATTATTCAGAACCTATTTTCTGAGCCCCTGTGCTGAAGCCCTGATTCAGCAGGGTTGCCGAGGAGCGTATGTCGTGCTGCCTGTGGGAGAAAGCTGGGCCCCCACCTCACCGGCGATGCCAACCTGCCGCGGATCCCAATGTCCTCAAAGAAAGGCGTGTTGGAGGAAAGACAGCGGCTGTACAGGATTCCCCCACGCGGAATCGCGAAGCAGGGAACGACTGGAGCTCAATAAGCAAAATGAATAACTACTACCCTAAGGTGTCCACATATTACCTGCTGAAATTAGCTATGAGATAAAACAACTGTGAGCCAGACACTCTGTTACACATTCCATGTACCTGCTTAAAGTTGTACATTTAGCTGTAAAGAGTACAAACCTCACTTTACCCTAGAGCAGGATGGTTTCACATTTGATCTAACATTTAAAAAAAACTGAAAAAGCCCCCCCAGCAACGGATTCCTATTTTAATGACAAAGCAGATCTATTCTGCACATTAAAAAAAAAGAAACAAGGAAAATATTGGTAATGAACAGCACCTGAAGCAGCTGGAAAGGCTAGATGAACAGACAGACAAATGCAAGAGGGACAGAGCTCTTTTCACAGCTCTGGAGCTACAGGTTTCACACTTCTTAAATAAGACGATGCTTCATACTGTTTGTTTAATGTTTCAAAGACCACTGCTTTTTAATATGCAAACTGAAAGGCCCAGAGACCGTGCAGGATCCCATAACAGATGTCATGTTTACTCCAACAAAATCTCTGTAATTGCGAGCTGTGTGCGGGCTCACGTCTGTCCTTACTCATTCCGCCAGAGTGAGGTGATGAAAGCACTTTGTCACATCGCACTGCAGCTCTGTCACCGCTGGCACCTACCCTACTGTCTGCCATACAGCAGGAATTTACTTTCGAAAAATACTGATTTCATTGTCTTGTCCATTAACACATTTTTCAGAACTTCATTGAACGAACAAAATAATTTTAGAATTCACTCTGGGGTGAAACAAAAGATTGCATTTTGGTTAAATCATTGGTAGCCCTCAGCATCCACAGTGCTTTAAAAATCTATACATTTAAATACTGGAATGTCCCTTCAGTATGTCCCAGCTCTAAATCAAACAAGTAATATTCTATATTACTATATATTTGTATTATATATAATACAAACAATTAGCATAACTGCTTAAATAAGAAAAAAAAACTTCCAACTAGACTTTGACAAGTTATTTTTCCAGATAGCTCTCCTTCCTCTCTCTATATGTATACTTTAGATACATAATTTATGTTAAGAAGAAAAACCGATTGTGTAAAGCAAGATTTCAATTTAAAATAAATGTGCCAAGTCTGGGACTTGTTCACTCAGTGCTGAAATAAATAAATGATATTCAGTTCTCTAAGTGATGTGTTCAATGCTAACAAACTGGCTCTGAGCCATTCTGAGGATACTGAAACAGCACCAGATCTAGACAGGTTTATTGTTCTCTGATGGACAGGTGATCAAAAAGAAAAGATCTCTTAAATGCATCTATTTATTAAGAGATGATACCATCATCTCTAACTTACAAGCTTTAAAAGAAAGCTTTTCATCTCTCTGATTTTCCTGTGTTTTTGTTCCATATACCAGGGGCTCAGAAAGGCACATTGTTGGTTTTTATTCTTAAAATGACAACATGTCATCTATATATAGCCTTTAAATTGTACTCAGATTTAACTTTTCCTTGCGTTGGTTGTCACAAGCTGATGTTTTTGACAGCTGCCAGCAGAAAGAGACGAGCGCTCAAGGTTCTGAAGTTTCAAATTAAGTTTGTCACATCGTCAGCCGCCTGATGTTGGCTAATAAAGGGAGCCGGGATTGCGAGAGCTACTGAAACGAGAAAGTGACAAAGGCCTGTCAGATCCATCTCGGCGAACATCAGAACCCCTGCACCTCTCTCAAAGTCTACATCTCCACATCTCAAGACGTGCGCGGCGCATTCTGGGAGGACCGTTTCAAATTCCTAAGCGATATGCATTGAAACAAATATCACAATAATAAAAAAAAAAACTTTTACGGGACAGTTCTCTCTTTTGCTATTAATCTTAAAAGCATTAAACATGAGTCACTGTTAAGCACAACAAGAGAAGTATCGTGAACTTTTCAGCTGTGTCTGAAGAGGACTCTTCTGAGATTCAAAAGCACCTGAGGACCTGCTGTGAATGAGAACAGAAGATGTGTGCTCTTTTCTCCCTCCTTCTTCAGAGCCAGAGCTGCTTTGCATTCTTGTAACAAAATCCTTTCTGCTTTATCAGGGTTGATATTCCTGCCATTTGTGAAGAAAAAAGTAACGGAATCTGTCCGGATCCCGGGCATCGATCGAGACCAGGGGAGGCGACTCTCAACATACTTCCTCACTTCCACGGGGTCTTGGCTACAAGGCGTGGCCACGATCCTGCAAGCTGGCGTTCCCAAGGGCAAGGGATCTTGGAAATCCCCGGATGGCCAGCGCGGATTCCACAAGGCCTTGCGACTCTCGGGAAGGGGACGATTGAGGGGACGCAGACCAGTGCTCGTGCTCATTCTCATTAGGGCTGTTTTCTTTCTTTTTGCCTTTATCTGCTGTCATAAGACCATTACTAGAACATACAGCGTGTACAGTTATAAATGAGAGGAGGCACTTTGGCCCAGCTAGCTCGTTTGTCCTATACAGTGACAGGCTGCCTCCTACTCTGTACCAAGCAGTTCCTCCCAGGGTTTTCTATAAATGGCATCGTCATCATCATCATCATCATCATCATCATCATCATTACTCTTCCTTGATTAGCATTTTCAAGGTCATTTGCTTTCATTCCAGCACATTTCAAGTGCCTCTAGCCTTTTAAGACTATGACGTTAGAAATGTGGTTCTGGTTTCTCTACAGCTCTCTATTAGGGTCTACAGTGTCCTTCAGGGAATCTCAGAGAGAACAGCCCCGAACAGACACATCTGATTAATGTTTCCAGAAGCTGCGATATGCAGTATACAAGAGTATTCAAAATCCATTTAAAAACAGGTGGGCTTTACCACCCATTAAAACAAGAGTCTTCTTACAATGCAAAACGTGCACTGACAATGACAACAAAACACACCAGATCTGATTTTTAGCTCAGACTAACACAAGCTAAAGCTGGAGTTATTCTAAAGGATCAGATTTCATGCTCAGGAGTAGTTAATAGGACGTGTGGCTGCACACACTTCAGTAGCATGTTTTGGATTAAAACAATGCCTTTGTAGCTTCTGAAAGGCAAGACACCATACAGAAATTCAGGGTGAGCCTTTTGTTTTTCACAGGGAGACAATGGAAGCAGTATGGAAGAGAGATACAGTATCTAGGTCTTTGGGTATGGTTCAGTTTCCTGGTTACCATCATGACAGAATTAATTCCAGTGTAGCTGGGAATCACCACAATTAGTCAGTTAATGACGAGGTAATTCAGTCACAGCCATCCAGTTTTGTTTTAAGATGTCGCTCACAGACACACTGAAGACTGAGGTTTGATTTTAGCTTTTTATTTTTTTACAGAGGAGCCCTATATGTATTCCTCCTGCCTGTGGGCAAAGATAAAGAAAGCCCAGCTGAGTTTTAAAGACAGCACAAATAACCATAAAAGACCCCCCCCAAAAAAAAAAAAATCAAGGCTTTAAAGAAGAACAGAGGCAGCCAAGAGAAAAAAAAACCTTCAACATATGATCAAAACGGCTAATGGTGCAAATTCTACGACAGTGTTCAATCGGAGGAGATGGCATGGGCTCACAGCAGCAACCTGCTCTCCCTTTTGCAATTTATACTTGTGTTCTTGTACAGTGTTCCTGATTGCAAAGGGCTCCAAAAAACATGATGTTGTTTTGGTTTAGGTGCTACAGAGCATCACCTCTGTTACTCAGAGTCTGACCTGCTAAGGGCTGTCTGATGGTGTGGCACTTTGGTGGTTGATGCTACACTCTCACAGCTACATGGTTCTGAGATTGATTTCAGACTTTGCCCATCTGTGTGGAGTCTGCATGGTCACCCACAGTATCATCTTCAATCTTTACTGTATTCAAATCTATAAATATTAGATAATATTTTTTCTTTGTCAATAAGCAGAGAAAGTTGGCATGACAGAAAACTGCAAAATGAGGTCCAGTGTGATTTTTAATTTTATGCATGCTTGGAAGGAGAGTAACTGCATTTTGTTAGCCTCATGTCTACAGGCAAAAACCTATAGTGCAGCAGCAGGAGAAGAAAAAATGTTGGGGTGGATCTGGCCAAAAACTGGTAACTTCAACCTGCTTAATAATTTTCATAGTGGGGCTGAAGCTGCAGATGTTGGAAAAAAATGACTGGCGAAGCTCTGTTTCCAAATGAGGTCAAAAGCACAGAGAATAAAACAATGGAGGGGGACAAGAAAAGCTGAAAAAGTCTGTCCTGCACGAGCTGAACTCTCTGCTGGGTCTTGTTCTGGTAGTATTTCCCTGCACAGAAATGTCACCTTACTTCTGCCTTGTAAAGGGCAGCTCTGCATTCAAAATAGGTTGCACTAGCATGGCAGCAAGCCTCCTCTATATGAACACAAAATGAGATGACATCAGCTGACTGTGATCTGCTTGGGTCAGGCCTGCTGGTCCTGCTAAGCCATGGAGAGCCCTTCAGTTTTTCTGGGGTCCACGCTAACCCCGCGGCTGTGCGGGGCTCACAGTGCTGAAAAGGGATGACGGCTTTGGGAAAGGATCGCTTTCCCAGTCCTCATCCTACAGATGGGTGCAAGGTTGCAGTGGTAAGCTGAGCTGCTGGCAAACTCAGTTCAGTGTAGTGCAAGGTGATAAACTGGTCCTGTTCGGTTCTTAAAAGCATTCCAGATGTGGACTGCTGACCACATTCCAGAGGGCTGGTGAATAACCTTCACTGCACTGATGCAGAGAGGACAAACACACTCAATGCAAATGGTAAATCCTGAATACTGTAGGAACATCTCTGTTGGATTTGCTAGCCACTTTTGTGCTGTGCACTGTTTTTTCTGAGTTACAGAGAAAACGATTCCCGAGCACTTCGGTGCACTGCAGAAAACACTAAAAAGGTTTCATGTCTGTTTTGTCTGAGGCTTTCAAAGCCTTTTCTGTTCTATGCAGCATGACCTAATACATGAAGTCGTCTTGGCTGCTCAGGCAGATTCATCAGAGCACATTCTGCAAAGTAAAATAAACCTAACATATTAAAAAAAAGAAATAAGGTGATAGCTTCTAAGCAAAATTCTGACTTTTTTATGACACAAAGCAGTTTGAGCATAACCTCCGTTTTTTTCAGTGAAGTCTTCATATTTATTTTTTTTATGGTGGACCCAGTCAGATGCCAGAGATCCCTCCTGTTTGCAAAGCACCACTGACACAAATGTGAAAGCCATTTCAAAGAAAGTCTGGGAACATCTGTTTGAAGTCTGGACAAAAACAGGGTTTCTTCATGCGAGGGAGAGGGATTGTATTACAAAGACTCAGACATGTCCAGGATGATAAACTAGAGTAATATCATTGTATGGAAAGAAAGTACACCTTCAACTTTATTACCCAGGTCATAGACTTTCATCTTAGCCACTCAGACAGCAGACAGAGCTGGTGTGCTATGCAGTTTTTATCAGTTAGGGAGAGGATACATTTTAAAGAGATTCTTCTTCTTTTTAAAAAAGTGCTTAGCAGCCCTTTGTGGTGTTAGGAGAAGCCAGGTGATGAACCTGAAATTCAGAGTATGCAAAGACCACTGCAAAATGAGCAGACGACATGAGTAAGAATAAGACCACAGTGGCTGGTTCTTTAACAGATTGGAGCAAGACCACATAGGTGCCCACTACCAGGTGACCCAGAGGCAAGAAACAGCAACATGGTACACAGACTTCAACGGTCACAAGAATCGCACAGGCCCATGTATACCGTGCATACCGTGGGCCTTTTGTTAATGGTCTTTGATGTTTCACTTTGTGTTTTTATTGCTAAAAAAAGTACACTATCTTCCGCAAAAGGAGAAACAGAGGGAAAAAAAAACTTCTTAAAACTTTGAAAGCCTGGTGTGGGTTTGTCACCGACATGCATGCGAACAGCAGGAGCGAGGCATGAAAGGAGCTGTTGTGACATCAGAATCACTGGGCTGCTGGGATAGCTGTGCTTTAGCTAGGACAACTTTCATGCTATTTAAGCTAAAAAAAAACTGCAGCTCACAGCTGGAGTCCTTGTAGAAACTTTTTGAAGTGGCCATGATATTTAATTTGGAATAGTTAAGAGAGATTTCACACAGTCTTTGAGTAACCACATCAGATTTTAAACAAAAAGGGCTCACATGATGGCGTGTAAGATCACAGTGAAGCAGGTTAACCTAATAATATTTCCTGTTCTTTAATCAGGCTATCAAGAGGTTAATTAGTGTTCTGGATACAATTCCAGGTTAACACGGGTTCCATGCAAGAGAACTGAGAGATAATGCCTGCAGCCTGCAGTAAATGCACTGCACAGTACTTCAAAGACAAAAAGAGGAGGAGAGGAGCAGGGCTTGGAGCTGAAGGGGGTTCAGAGCCCCTGGGGACTGACTTGGCTGGGTAAGACCCACGGTGCTGTGTGCTGGGGTCACTGTGCGACCGATACGCAGTTCTCGACACATACTATAGGCACTGATTAAATCAAATATTCAACCCCAACCAATCACAGAAGGAAACACCGGGGAAAATACATTTCCCATTCCCCCATCCTCCTTTCTTCTTCCCTCCTGAAACCAGCCTTTAAGAATGACCAAGTTTTGACTGTGGATTAGCAGAGACTGGGGGGTCAACGTTTAGCCCCAATCAATGACTTAAACTCAGAGTTCTGCTGCCCACATGGTCATCAAGCTTTGACCAAGAGCAAGAGGCACACCTGGTACACCTGGCAACTCTGCTGTGTGCAAAAGAAGAAACGTTGCACAGTGCAAACCTGGATGAAAAGTGATGTACTCACACACACAGGGCAAAGGCTCTTCGAACAGTGCCTGATACAGAAGGAGGTCAGAAATGTCTTCATGTGTTGTTCACATACCAAGCCAGTGAAAACACTTAAACAGAAGACATTTATTTATTTTAAAAGTTTGAGCAGTCTGTTATTAAAGATAACAGGGACTGAATTTGTGCTGTGAACTTGAGCGGCCAAAGACAGCTCTCTCTGCCCCTGGCGCTGGCTGTTAGTGCCGGATTCTGAGGAATTCTGGAAATGTGTGAAGAAGGAAGAGCTCATCCTTCAGTCTGATGGGTGAAACTAGGTATCGGATTTAGTGGTAAAATATTTTCCTTTAGCCCCAGGGGCAGAAGTCTAATAAAAAAACCTTGTGTACCTGCTCCTGATGCTCCAGCTCTTTGTTCAGAAGCTTCTTCTCCGAAGAGTTCAACAAGCTCTGGAGATTCTCTATCTTATCCTGAAGGGCCTGAAAGAAATGAAGGAAAAAAAAGAAGAAACTGGAAAAGTGAAACTCTTTGAACAGGGGTGTCCTGGTGGTTTCAGCTTGAAACAAAAGGCACAGCGTGAGTTTAGGGTTTCACTCATAAAGTCCACAGTCCCTGTGTCTCCAGAGGTGTAAGAGCTGTGCAGACTGCAGGGGTTACGCGATGCCAATATTGGGCAGCTGGGGTCAGTGAAAACGACCATGACCCCTCCAGACAAGGCCACGATGAGTCCAGCACACAGTGAGAACAGCATGTTCAACTGAAAATGCTCCCCCCCACGTTACTGACATCATATTTATTAAATAATTCAGAAAAAAAAACACATAAAATACATTTGTTTGTTTAGTTTTTAGGTCAGCAATTTTAGTTGGAAAAGCCGTTTTCTGCCTGCTGGAGTGGAAACAGGCCCTTGGATCTTGCACTGAGCACATGCACTGCTCTTTCTTTGCTTATTACTTCCGAATATCAGCATGTAAATATAGCAGTTTAAAAAAAAAAACATTTCTCTCCATGGAGACTTCTAAACACAAACAGGTTTGCTTCTTTCAGCGCAATGTGACTAACCTAACTAACTAATGGTGAGGAGGACTGGGACTGCCCTCAGGATGCCGTTACAAACCATGCCGGCACAGAAAGCTACTTTTATAAACTCGGAAAACCCTTAGATCAACAGTGGAAAAATGACTTACCTCAGTCTAAAAATAATAAATGTGAAAACTGTCTACAAGCCTGGGTCTTCCTGTCTGTCCTGCAGGAACAGAGCAGCACAGTTTCCCAGGGTACCAGGCTGCCCTCTATGAGCTCACTGCCCAGCAAGAGAGGGAGGGTGTCGGCCTGCTGGCCCACACGAGAAACACACGTGCTCTGTGCACTGGTGTTTACCTGAAGAACTCACAGCTCTCACCACCACGACCTGAGCGGTCAAAGCCAGCAGCGTGGAGCTCTGAAGTCAGGACCAGGAGCTTGTGTGCTGAAAGCTGTGGTGGCACGCTGCTGTTGCACACTTGAGCAGGGAACTTCAATAAATTGCTCCCGTAAATACCCCAGTGTATAACTCTGTCCTCTCCAGGACTCTCCAGGTCATCATTATAAATAAGAATTTGCACTCAATTGTCTGATCTGGCGACATGCAAAATAAAGGTAGTGTGGAAAAACAGATATTTTTTCATAGCTTTGTAATGACAAAATTACAATGTGGTCATATCCTGATATGAGATCATCATACATGAGAAACTATAGTCTGAGTATCGTTTAATTGTGCTAATGCTCCTGACACACACTGAGGTCCTCCTGAGCTAAACTGCACACAGAACATACCTTTAGATAAGGCAGCCTTTAGCAAGGGAACACACAGACTTGTGCAAAGTCTTATTCTAATTCTCCCACAAGACAGATTGGGATACATGATACAGAGAGTTCAAAGAAGTTTTACAGCACAATGCCGAAAAAAATCTAGTTTACAACAACACCGCTAACGTAGTGCAGCTCTTTTCCTTACAAAATACACCTATATCCCAAGAAGACAAACTCTAAACATCTGATAGACAGGGCGCGAAGAAATCTGGTGAAGGTGATGCACAGAAGGGTGAGTAGCAGAGGCGTGGCTTTAGCAACCAACATCCTGGGAACACCTCCGCTGCCTTAACCACTAGAGCACAGAGCCTCCTGGAGCCTGGGTGCTGCTAATACAGTGACCTTCTTCGTTGTGACCTTCAACGGCACAGGAGCATTTTAATCTTAGACCCTGTCTCTGAGAGGAGACCAGGCAAAAGTTGGACAGAACTAGGTTGTTTTGTCCGTGAAAAAGTGTGTTTTAACTAGAAAGTGGGTTTTCTCGTTACAGAACAGAGTGAGCCCTGCGTTGCTGAGATCAGCATGCTTCCCGATTCCTCGCCTCTCCTGATAAGCAGACACTGGGACGTTTCAGGAGCTCATATTAGAGATTATAGGTCTCAGGCCGGGACACGACAGACAGAAGACTGGAAAACTGTCTTGGTCTGAAAGCTCTGTGAGCTGGTGGTCAGCTACAGCAACGATGGCCCTCAGCCGTGTGGAATTAAAAAGCAAAGGAGATCTGACCTGCCTGACATGTTAAACTCAGCTTTATAGGTGCTGAATGGATTAACCCTTTGCTTTAAACTGGGTTTAGTAATTTCTGCATAAAATATTACTTTCACACAAGCCAGGTGTCTCTTACATAGCAAGGCTGACGTCACTGGTGATGGCAAAAGGTTTATCTGTGTGCAAAGGGAGTCAATGGAGGTGATGTGGTAACTCGCCGAGCTAATCAGGATCTTTCAGCAGGGCCCGGCAGTTACAGGCGTCATCTGAACACAAGGATCTTAAGGAGTTTTAGAGTTTATCCCAGGTGCTGCCCAGTGAACTTTAATCTGCCCTGCATGAATCAGTGATTTTCACAGAGAATCCCTCAAAACAGGCCCAGATGGTTGGAAGTGATATACCCTTTATCACCTCCTTCCGTCTGGTATAAATTAAAACGGGGCGAGAAATTCGGGAAAATTCAATTTCCTCAGGGGGGCCAGTATTGTTACGACGGCCATGGTGTTATAAATATGCATGGCTGCTTCCTTTCTTTTTTGACTGGCTCTGCTTCTCAATCCTTTTCTCTCAGAAAGTTTGATCTTCCCCAAGGAAAAAAGCTCATGACATGAATCGCCAGTGTTGACTTGCGTTTAAAGAACACACACACCTCCGAAGGTGGGACCTGCTTCCTTGTCTTCTTCCCTGGGTGGTCTTTGTGTAAAGATAAGGAAGGCATGTTAAACCCTCTGGAAGTGAAACACAAGTTTGGCTGTCCTTTTAAATTCCAAACCTTGTTTTGTTAGCACTAGACCTCTTTTTATGTGGAATTCGGAGTGTAGTGAGCTTTAAGAGCTCTTCCAAACTCCAGATTAAAGAGATTCCTCCAATGACAACAAGTCAGAAGAATGACTTCTTTAAAGTGTAGGAACCCCTCATGTGCAGGCCCTGAGCACTACCGAGCAGGTATATAAATCTGTTTGCTCAGGATTTCACCCCTTCCCCTAATGCCGAGAGACTCCCTGCCTTTCCGTGTTCTTCAAAACGGACAACTGCTCAGGCACGAAAGAGGAGAAGAGGGAAAAAGAATGCTGAGGAAAGGAAATCTTATGGTTTTTAACCTAATCCACATGTTTTGGCTTCACATATGGCAAAACTCCTCGCTGGTGGGAAACCTTTTTTTTTTGTTACTGCAACACAATATATATTCTCAGAAAACGGCCTTTGATGTTTGCTTGAGCTTCAGATGTCATTCAGGCTACTGACTTTAAACTAAAGAAAAAAAACCATCTTTTGCGGCGTGCTTCTCTCCGTGCCTGGCAGGGCCTCGGATGCCTGGATGCGCCGGCCGAGCTGTGAAAACGCCCGTGGAGCCGCCCGGCGCGGCTGTTCTCGTCCTGCTCCCCGGGTCGCTCGCGGGCCTGCCTCAGCGCACGCCCTGCGCCACCTGCCACGGCCCACACGCCAGCACGGCCCGCCGAGCCCTTCGCCCGACTACCAGCACAGCCGGGGCGAGCGGGGAGCCAGACGCCGAGCAGCGCGGCTAAACTGCGCCTAGTGCTGCCGCGCCTGGGTGAAAGAGCAGAACAAACACCGGGGCGAACTGCGCTTGCTTCTTAGAGCTGCAGCCAAGAAGGCTCGACCAGGAAGGATTAAGACGACCGCGGTAATGACAGTAGAGAAATGCTAATTGTCCTGGGTGTATCTGCAGTTTTGCCCCTTGTGTAGAAATCGCCCACGGACGGTGACAGAGTTCTGGTTTGGTACAACCGTACAAGAGTTCTGAACCAATTTCGGAATGACCCCTACAGGATGAGAATCAGCACCGTTGAAGGCCGAACAGGGTAGACCAGAGTCTTCAGTGGTGGGAGCCCGCTACTCTCGCCTGCCCTGCCAGATCCACCTTTCAACGCCTCTGACCCAAGACACCTCCTGCCTTCCCTGTCAACCACAGCTTACCTCTAGGGCAGTTAGGCCCATCGGGCCCATTTGGGTTTGTAATAGCAAATTGATCTCAGAAACCCAAACGACCATTTCTTGAAAGGAGGCAGGGTCTCGGTTTCACAAGATGGCAGGGCAGTTTGTTCCAGCCTCCCACCTCCCTTTGTGCAATGATGTGCCTCCTATAGTCAGTTTAAACGCTCTTCTGTTGAGATTCCACTTGTCTCCCCTGGATCGCTACACACTCTTGTAAATGTCCCTGAGAATTGTATTGTACAAGTCCCATTGTAGTCAGTTTTTTTAGCCTGTCAATGTTTGTGTTGTGGTACCGAAAACCTAGAATTTTTTAGATGCATATCCAGATATGCTGAACCTGACACATCCATCTATCCAACTTCTAGCCATTTTATCCAATTCAGGGTCGCGGGGGAGCCGGGATCTATCCCAGCAAGCAATGGACGCAAGGCAGGCTACACCCTGGATGGGACACCAGTGCATCGCACGGCACAAACAAGACACAAGCACACCCACTCACACCAAGGCCCCTGTTCCCAGAATCTATCCCAGTTCACCTACCAGCATGTTTATTGATTGTGGGAGGAAACCAGAGCACCTGGGGGAAACCCACAGATTCCTGACAGATAGGTCAGGACTTGAACCCAGGGACCCAGTGCTGCAAGGCTGCGAACTGTCGTTGCCAGCCACCGAGACGCCTGAACCTGGAACATCACCGCCTTATTTCATAACAAGATGTATAATTTTAGATAAAATACCTGTAATTTCAACACCAGCCCCACCCATCTGCCCACCACACGTCATCTATCCTTCACCTTCAAATTCATTTCTCATATGAAGGAGAAAACCAAAAAAAAAACACTGTATTGCTGGGATGGGAAGATGTATCAAAAAAAGAAAATCTGAACCTGATCCTTGAAAAGCTGTCCTTCCCAGAGGCAAATATATCTTTCAGCCAAGCTGCTGCCTTGTTGCTTTCAATAAC